CTTTGCTTTTTCCTCTCCATTTTCATATTTTGTCACTTCCTCAAATTATAAAGAGCCTTTTCACATCACACGTGACTAAGCTGAAAACTAAAGTGGGAACAAGATGAGCACTTGAGGAATAAAGGTTCAATTTCCCTTTAAATCTACATGTGCATTCGAACTAAGCAAAAGGAACACAGGGCAATCAATATACATGCCTTAGGAGACCTCCATTACCATGCTTTGGTTTCCTACCATCACCAGCAACTCTTGGAATATCAACAGACTTGACACCCAACTCTGGAACACCTCAAGTACCAGTACTTTGTGGGTTGTGACTATTCAAGGTATATAAGAACAGTTTTTCTATAGACAGGAAATTTTATTATATTTCCACGAAAGCATTTATTTGATGTTTTTAATTTTTTTATTTTCTAAGAAGAAATGTTTATTTCAGCTCACAGTTTGTAGAGGTTTAAGTACATAGTTGGCTGACTCAGGCAAGGTGGCATGGCAGAGGGGCATCACAGAGGAAAAACAGAACATGGTGTGGCAGACAGAAAACAGTCTTGGTTTGTTTTTTAAATCCTACTTCCACTACCACTTTATAAAGGTGCTTTAGCATGGTATGTTAGTTACCTTTCTGTTAGTGGGACAAAATACCTGACAGGTACAACTGAAAAGACAAAAGATTTATTTTGGCTCATGATTTCAAAGACTTCAGTCCATGGTCAGCTAGCTCCAAGGCAGAACCATCACGGCAGAAGGATATGGTGGAAGGAAACTGCTCATGTCATGGTATCCAGGAAGCAGACAGGTCAAGGAGAGAGCTAGAGCAGAAGAAGCCAGTGGCCAGATACAGTCTCCAAGGTCGCACCCTCACATCCCACCCAGACACACTTCCGAGTGTGTTTTACTAATCTAGGCATCTCAAGCCAGTCAAGGTGATGGTTAAGATTCATCATCATACATGGGAACTATTATGTATGTGAGGATTAGAATCTCAAGTCAGACAACAAGGAGAAAACTTTAACAAAATCACCTTTGAACATCCTCAAATCAGCTGAGTGCAGTGATGCATGTCTGTAGTCCTATCTACTGTGGAAGCTAAGACAAAAGGATTGCTTGAAACCAGGACATAGCAAGACCCTATGTCAAAAAGAAAAAAAAGGAAAACCCCCAAGTCACCAAGAATTGAATGCATGAAAGCTCAAAAGCCAGAAATTAACTTATGTCCCTCTTTACTTTTATGCTATGGCTTCATACTTCCATATGGTCAAGGTCCACTTGAAAGAGGAAATGGATGTTGGAGAAAATAAGATTTTTCCTTTCAACCTTTCCAAGTAAACATAGGCATGTAGTTAAATTGCAGTAAGTGAAAGGTACTTGTAATACGACTCCCTTATATTGTTCAAATAGTTGAAGCATTTGATTCTGGGCCACTGACAGAATTTTTTAAAAATCATGCTAGATTTAAATATTGATCCATTCATTCAACAAACAGCTATTGAACACCTCCTTTATCAAACTTAGGCTCTTTAAGTCACCTGATTTGGTTTATAGTAGTAGCTCAGGCAGTATTTATTGGATGAAAAATTAATGAACAGTCAGGTATGATGGTGGACACTTGGCAATCCCAGCACCTGGAAGGCTGAGGCAGGAGGATTGCCTTGAGTTTGTTGCCATCCTGGGCCTACATAGTGAGACTCTGTCTCAAAAAAGAAAAAGAAAAATTAGTGAAAAAGTCCATGTCTTTTTGTGGTTCATGTCCCAACTTTAAAGATGGAGAAATAACGATTAACTGTGTAACGTGTTTTAAGTTTCTTACATTTATGCAAACAGTGTGGAGGAAGAAATTAGTTCTGTGTGGGGGAGTGTGATAGACTCATGAGAGAGACATTTGAGCTAGACTTTGATGGATGAGTAGGAGTTTTCCAAGACAGGAAGAGCATTCGAGGTAAAGAGGAGGATCCGCCAATGATTCTAATATACTTGCTTTTCAGGGATTAAATGCCCTGAGCTGAGGTATAATAGCTAACAGTTATTTGGTGTGCATGATGCACCTGGTAGTGTAAGTGCACTTTACATGTGAAGTAGGCACTACTAACTCCATATTCCAGTTTAGAAAATAATTGAAGGTTTAATTTTCCAGAGATGGCATTGCTGGTGAGATGACAACCCTTATGGTATCTGTGTAAGAAGTTTTAGACTTTGGGCCAGTGGCACCGTGCCTGCCTGGCAAGTGCAAAGTCCTGAGTTTGATCCCTGGTACAGGGAAGAGGAGGCAGTTTAGATTTTGTGCACAGTGGGGAGCCATTGAGGTGGATGTAGTCAGATGTGGGTGTTACAGGGTAAATTTAGAAACTGTGAGTGAAGGGAGGTCAGTTCAGACATCTTATACTTTTCAGTAACTTCTTGGAGGTTTCAATTCCATTCTTGATTTTGGGAGGAGAAACCTTGAGGGGTACAAAGAAGACGGGAGAGATGGAATCAAGAGGCTTGACCCAGGGAAGTAGAACTGACTATCGGGTTTACAAAATGGTGATGTGCTGGAAGGAAATGGTATCTACCAACCTTGTGTGGGTTTTGGTGCATATATGTATTATCTAAACTACAGAAGCAGATTAGTATGTGTATATGATTTATAAATACAGAATTGGATGCACATCGAAATTATACTCACTTTTATGGGGTACACCATCAAAACAGTTTGGAGGTACCAATCCAAGTGTAGCTGAGAGATGTATCATTGCCCAGTGGTCAAAGGGGTAAGAAAGATTAAATAGGTGAGGTGGTGACCTGTACTTGTACTTCTGTAGGTGACAGTTTTCTTTCTTACTTTTTGAATCAGGTTTTTGTATTTTGGAATAACCCCAAAACATTAAACTTAGGATAAAGGTACTAAGGAGGAACAAGGTGATCCATTCTTGTTGTTGTTCTTTTGTTTTGTTTTATTTTGTTTTGTTTTTTGGGTGCTGGGGATTGAACTCAGGACCTCACACTTGCCAGGCAGGTGCTGTACCACTGAGCTACATCCCTAGTGGGCCCTAAACCTGTTCCATTCTTATGGGAAAGATTGGGTCCTGACCACTTCTTAGAATTGGAGAATATTGGAAGTAGAATAGGCATTAAAATGCCTCCTTCTTGCTACACTTGCAGAATCTCAGAACATAATCATCTGGCTTTTGCTTGAACCCAATTCACAAAAAAGTTGAGACAGATGTTAATTGGTAGAGTTCTTCCACTTAAAAGGTACAATTTACGTCCCCCACATGCAACTTCTACACTTTTCCTCCCCTTAGTTACAGAACCAGTGACCCTATCCATGGTGCTGTACAGTTTTTCAAGGCTCCCCTCCGTGCAGTCACATTGGATGCTAACAACTCCTCTATGGAGTGGGTAGGCATATATTTGCTTTGATTAAATACATAAGGCATTTGGAGATTATGGTCCAGCTGATGAGCATTCTAGTTCTTTAACACACCAACATTTGTCATTCACAATTTGCATGTTCTATAGAGAAAGTATTGTAGCACCAGGAGCCAGCTGACCTGAGTTTCAATTCTGGTTCTACCACTTTCTAGTAACAAGAGCTTGGGTAAGTTATATTGTCTCTCTGAGCTGCAGTTTCTCATTTATCTATGAAATAGGAATAAGGTTTTCCTCCTCTGAGCCCTATTGGGATATTCATTGTACTTCATTGTAAATGTTTAGCTTATGTTAAGTGTGCAATGAATGTGCATGTCTTACCTTTCCTATCCTGGTTCAAATTTTTAAACTCTTTGGGCAGGGCCGGGGATTTAGCTCAGTGGTTCCACCGCCTACCTTGCAAGCACAAAGAACCAAGTTCGATCCCCAGTACCAAAAATAAAAAACAAAAAACTTTAAACTCTTTGGGCAGTATGAGGTTTATTTATTTATTTATTTTTATTTTTTGAGGTTTATTTTTGTTAAATTTTCTTTTTTTGGGGGGTACCGGGCATCGAACTCGGGCCCTTATGCTTGCGAGGCAGGAGGCGGAATCACTGAGCTAAACCCCTGGGCCTTTGTTAAATTTTCTATCAGAGGTTCAGTGCCATTGTATCAGTCTAAAAAGGTTACTTTGGAACTTAATTCTATCACTTATCTTTTAGATGTTCCATAATCATGAATATCATATTGATTTTGAAAAGCTAAGAAGTGTATTTATTTCAGAAGTCATGAAAAGGTGTATTATCAGAAACTTAAGCTATTTCCATTTTAAGAAAATTGACTCTATTAATAAATATTAATTTGATATGACACGAAATAGGTCACCTTACTGCCATGTGACTACATTGGTACTAAATGAGAAGGAATGAGGCTAGATTTTCTTTTTAATTTGGAATTTTTCCTTCATGGAATGATGTGATGATTTGGAATTAAGCGTTTGAAGAAGGAGCTCTTCCAGTCTTCCAGTGGAGTCTCTTTCATCCCTTCATTCTTCTGTTCTGTCTGAAAGGAAAATACATTATTTTCAGCATGAGAAATCTGCCACTTTGAGGCAGATTTTAAGTCTTGATTGAAGTGAAGGCCCTTTGATACTTTCTAGCTAACGTTTAAGTGTGTATTTAGTCTGCCAGATTGAGTTTTCTAAGGACTCAGATCCAGTCAGAATTTCTTGCTGTTACTGGCACATGGCTCAGTTCCTGGTATTTGTAATGAAATCGTGCCTGTTGACTGAATGAAATGTTACTGGTTGCTATATCTGTTGAAATTTAGTGCATGTGAGTTTTTGGGTACATCTTGGGCATTTACTGTGATTCTTTTAGTCAGATAAATACATGCCAGGTAAAATATATAAATTAAGAAAAAAAATAAATTTCTTCTTTTTTTACAGAATTTTTTTGACTACCTTCCTCAGTATAGACAGTGGCAATATGTATGGCTGTGTGTATGTGCCTTAAGATCTTTTCATATATTCTTTTCAATTTTTGTCTAATATCAACATTTCTTCAAAGATGAAATCTTTTGTCATTGTTTGTTTTCAAATTTTTCCCCAGTATCCATTTTCTAGCAGCTTCCTTGGCTCTTGAGGGACATTAAGCATGGAAGAACTGAAGACCAGACACAATGTGGGTAAGGGTATCTCCACTTATGATCCTGGTGTTTTTCCAAAAGTAGTACTGAATCATTTGGGAATGATGGATTACAAATTCTATATCTTTCTCATGTCCATAGTGCAGTTGCTTATGTGTCCTAATTTTTGTTAGGATAAGTTCTCTGGTAAATGCTCTACTGTTAAATTTTAGTCACTGTTTCTAAAGCAGTGTGTTCTGTATGCTGAATCACTGATCTTTCCATTTTCTTCCACCATTTTGGTATTTAGATGCCTCAACATCAGTCTAATCTAAAGGGGAAAAAATTCCTAACGTCCTGACTTCCGGCAGAAAGTATTTGCATTAGAGAATTCCAATTTTACTGATTCCTTTGTTCTAGAAAAAAAAATTCAAATATTTGCTACTTAAGTTTTTCTCTCTCTGTATCCCACTTAATGCAATAAACTGTCTTCTTTAAAAACATATTACATGTCATATAGCTGAGCAATTTTATGCACAGGTGGGCCACACACAGTGAGATGTGATTTTATATTTCTAGGGGAAATTTTTAAAAAGGATAATCTTTGATGCTGTTGAGGATGTGGTATGATAAACATAGTTTATCTCTGGGAGGGGAAGTGTAAATTGATGCCATATTTTTGGAGTGTAATTGGAACCTGTAATCTCACTTTTAGAAGTATATCCAAAGGCTGGGGCTATAGCTTAGTGGTAGAGTAGTTCAGTGGAAGAGCATGTGCTTAGCATAAGTGAGGCCCTGGGTTCAAGAATCCCAGCGCCACATACATGCACATGCAAAACAGTCAGAGATAGGAATAAGGATTTATGCATAAATGCATAGCAGTGTTCATCATTCACCATAGTTCTTTTTTTCATTCTTTCTTTCTTTTTTGAGATAGCTTCTTGCTATGTATTCTAGACTGGCCTTGAACTCAGTAAGTAGCCCGGGCTGGCCTCAAACTTGTGACAATCCTCCTTCCCCAGCCTCCTAAGTGGTGGGATTACAGGAGTGTTTCACCATGCCTGGCTCATCATACTTTTCTTAATGAAAATTATAAGCCACGTAAATATCCAAAAGTTAATAAATAATTAAATATGGTACATAAAAGTGCCAGAATATTATGATTATGGAACCATTAAAAATTATGACTTTGAATATTATTTTAGGACAAGGAAATTATTGGGCTATCCCATTAGGTGGGAAAAAATTAAACAGTGAATAAAATATGATATACACCAAAGTACTGTAATTCTTATTTCTGAGAAAATGAGATAAATAATTAAAAAATCTTCTTTGTATATTCTGGTATTTTCTTTAATAAGAATGTACTACATTGATGATTAAATGAATGAGTACATTTGAAATATTAGAGTGATGGGCCGGGGATTCAGCTCAGTGGTTCCATCACCTGCCTGGCAAGTGTGAGGTCCCAAGTTCGATCCCCGGTACTAAAAAACAAAATAAAACAAAATAAAATTAGAATGATACCTGCTACATTATCTTATAATAAGGAAAGTATTTTTAAAATCCACTCTAATTGTAATTATCTAACCATTTGTTTAATCTCTGTCTTCCATAGACTGTGGTTCTTAAAGATCATATCTGTCATATATGTACTAGCTCTGGCATCAAGCACGGTACTTCGCAAATAGTAAGTGCTCAGTCAGTATTTGTTTGGGCCCACAAAGACCAGATTTCTGATATTTTCTCTTATTATAGTTTCTTAGCAGGAAGAGTAGCAATGAGAAAGCTGTTAAAGTGTTAATGCTCCTAATTGAGAATTTTTGTGCTCTTATTAGTGTTGGAATGCATGTAAATGAAGAAACTGCAAGATGTTAAATGGTGTGTTGTTGGACCAGAAATGTATTTATTGATACATGTTTATTAAATATGTTTATTATATATATACTGGTATTGAGATCTCTTTTAAAATTTTTTCAAAAGTTATAGTTTTCAAAATTTAGAAAAAGAACTCAATAAATTTATGACAATAAAATTATGTCCACTATATGTCCACCACCTCCGACATCCTTTTGGACTAGGCCTAAGATTACAACGTTAAGCAAGAAAATGCACATTTTTAATAGCCTGGAAGGCATTTTGGTGAGATAACAGGAGCATATTTGGTTATGGAGCAGTCCATAATTCTATAAAAGGACATAATTTGAATCTGTAGCTGATTATAACTTTAAAAGTCCCTATAGTATACCAAGTTTCTTAATTGTAAATAGTTACTTCCTAAAGCTTGCCAATCACTATGAAGTAATGAAATGCAACAAGAATTACCGGCTGCTGTTTGTAAAATCAAATGATAAAATTCCCTTAATGAAAGTAATGTGCTGACTGTAGTATTTATTCTTCAAAACATAATGATCATGTGCATTGTTATCTCTGAGACAGCTTTGCAGAATATGTCTTAAATATACCAGAGGAAATCAAGAGTAATGTGCTTTTTCAAAGAAATGTGTGTTTATTTACACGAAACCAACACAAACAGTTTAAAGATCCCTTTAATAGAGATTTCAGTTTTATAGAGTTAAACTGGGAAGATTGATGAAATGGGAAAGCAACTGTCATTTTTGGAAATACAAGAAACTTAGAAGTACAAACTAAGAAACGCACTTGGGAAAAATACTAATATCATGAAACCTGGACTTTGTCAAATTCAAAAGACCTTGATATCTACTTCTTAGTGCTTTTTAGAGTCCTAGAAATAATGTTGAGATAGCATAGGATAGAAAAGAATAATCAGGAAGCCTAATGCAATCAAAACCTCATAGCCTGGTATGGGAAACAGCATTTGGCAAAGCCTGCTAAGCTACTGTAAATGAATGTTAATCATATTTTATCAGCCGCTTGTAATATCTTTATTACATAATTTGAATATTTATGACCCTGGAAATATGTTTAATGGTAAAATTACAGTGTTTATGGAACTCAAATTCCAGAAAGCATTCAACCTTTTGATGGAGAATTATGTTTAAATACTACAAAATTCAAGATGTTTCTGTCATTCAGGAGTAGTTTATACCCTGTGGGACAAGAATCTTTTCTGACTTAAAATGCTAGGACAAATGGAGTAATGTCTGCAAAAATTGACTTTAAAGGCAAACATGTGATTTAGATAATTTATTAGATCACTAACTACAGCAAAAATAGATACCAACTACAGCATTTTTAACTTTTTAGGGCCAGGTACACTTTAACTGTTTTTTCAATATACTTTATATTATTTTGGTTTACTGCATCCTTATCTGCTTGGACATTGTTAATGAACTTTTCTTTTCCTGTATGAACCACACTTAGGAATTGAACAGCTTCTGCTAAAGATCCCGTAATACTGAAAATGAAAATAATGGGTGGGAATGCCTCTTTAGTTTTGTAATCTGTACTTACATTTTCTGTGTATGTATTTTTGGGGAAACTTGAGTCTGCTTTCTTCTTTGCAAACTTAAACCCATAAAAAGATATTTTCCCCTTTGAAAGGATTTAAATGCGCTTGTTTTTCTGGAAAATATAATCTAATAGGAAAATACAGTTCATATTAGAACTCAAAAAGGCCTGTAATTAAGATGTGTCTCAGTTACATTTTTTTCTGTCTTTTGTTAAAATGGAAACAAGGACTCATTCCAGTAAATAAAATTGTTATGAAACATTGTTTTCAAAGTTGGAATAATGTTATGCCTATTTGGTTACTTTATTTTAGTTGTATAGGATATTAGCAGATTATCCTTTTGTATCATTTGAGTGCGGAATTTTTAAAACATTTCTCTTCTGAGGTTAATTTAGATGGGTGGTGGGTGGTATTTGTTAGGAGGGTGAGGTTGGGGGCCAGAATGTTGAAAACAAGTCCTAGACACAGCACTTATATAGCCTGTGTACTATCGTTCTAATCAGGTTAGCAAATCCCCGTCTGCCTCAGTCACCCCCCCTTCAGCCTCAGTCACCCCCCCTTCACGATATTGTCGGGAAACAGTGTTACCTGAGATCTTCACCAGTACCTGGAAAGTGTGGAAAATATATACCTGGAGTGATGATCTTGTAAGCTATTACTTGATGCTAGAACCTCTTTATGTTGTGAGATATTTCAAGCCCTTTGCCTTTCCACCATCCACTTTGGGAAGAATTAGCTGGTCAGGACACCTTCCTTTTATTTTAAAAAATTTCCTTCTCTTAGCATATTAATTAAAATTATTGTTATTTTTTAATGGTAGCAAAGTTTTATTAAAGTTAAGAAAATAAACAGGCTCTGCAGAGCGAATTTGGGCCAAGTGAAAGTAGGAAAAGAGGTATACCCTTCAGCGTGAGGGCAAGCCACCATGCCTGAAATTAATTTTAAAAAGCGTTTAATGGTTGCATATATTCTTACTTCTACTTATTCACCTTTGCTGAGGGGTGGGACAGATGCATGGTATTTGCAGTTCTTTCCGACCCTTGTGACGCCACTGTATTCTTGTCACTTATTCACGATCTGTGTCATTGCTCAGTGCATCATCACTCTTTTTACTTGAGCCAATCAGTTATCTTTTAGATGAAATAATAAAAAATATTTTATATTATACTCATTTGTTCATTATGCAACATTCTTCGCTTCATTCATGGATATGCAATTTTGAAACATATAATTTTTCTTTGAAGAATTTTTTTTTGAGTCATAGTCTCAAGGTGGCCTTAAACTCACTGTGTGGCTCAGGTTGGCTTCAAATTTAAAGCAATCCTCCTGCCTCAGCTTCCCAAGTGCTGGGATTACAAGCATATGCCACCACAACCAGCAGAATTTCTAACATTTCTTGCAGAAAAGTCTCACAATAAATTGGTTTTTTGTTTTTGTTTTTTGTTTTTGGTACCGGGTATCGAACTCGGGTCCTTGCACTTGCGCAGCAGGCTGCGAAACCACTGAGCTAAATCCCCGGCCCAATAAATTTGTTTTTTTAAATCACTATTTTTCTTTTTTTTTTTTTGGTACCGGGGATCGAACTGGGGTCCTTGCGCTTGCGCAGCAGGCGGCGAAACCACTGAGCTAAATCCCTGGCCCCACTATTTTTCTTTCACTTTTAAAGGGTAATTTTGTTGGATGTGTAATCCCAGTGAATTTGATGGGCAGGAATTGTTAAAATAGTGTGGGTTTGTTTTTTTTTTGGTACCGGGGATTGAACTTGGGACCTTTCGCTTGCGCAGCAGGCGCCAGAACCACTGAGCTAAAATCCCCGGCCTAAGGAATTGTTAAAATAGATTGCCAGGTTTTTCTAACACTTCTTCTTGCTTCCATGTTTTGCATGGAAAATCCACTATAATTTTTTTCTTTATGCTACTGGGGATTGAACCCAGGGCCTTCATACTGAGCTACATCCACAATCGTTTTAATTTTGCAAGCGTCTTGCTAAATTGCTAAAACTGGGCTCTTTCAACCATCCTGCCTCAGCCTCCCAGAGTGCTGGGATTACAGACATGAGCCATCATGACCAGCTCACTGTAATTTTTATCTTTGTTGCTTTATAGGTAAATTTCATCTGTCTCCTGTTAGCCTGGGTTCTGAACCTTGTATAAAGTGGAAACCATGCACAGACCAGCCCCCATGCAGTTAAAGTGAGGATTTATTACAGAGAAGCACAGCGAGCCACCACCTGAGGGCTTGCCAGGAGCAGAGCAGCCCCAGAGCAAGATCCCAGAGTTGGCCCCTCTGCAGACAGCGGAGCCCTAAACATAGGAGATGTTTCACTTTTATGAGACCTCAAAAAAATGCCAGGTTTTCTTTTTTTTTTTTCCTTCAGGAAGGGCTGGGGCTGGGACTGGGGCTGGCGCTGGGTGGAGTTTAGCTGCTTTGCACCTGAGTTTGGAAGCTTAGGGTCGGCAGATTCTGGGATCCCGGGCCAGCTGTGCCTGCACCGGCCTTTCTTATCTCAGGGAAAGGGAGGCCTGGAAGCTCATCCAGCCTGATTTACCTTCCCTGCTGGTCGATAACAGCTGCAGCGCCCTCAGTCTACCATCCACCGGTCTCAGTTCCTCCCCATCCTCCACCCCCTGCCCACCACGCATGCTCCCTCATTTCATTTTCTACAGCATGACTACAGCAAGCCACCGCACAGGGCCATTGAGGTGATTGTCCTGCTTGGAATTTTGTAGGCTTCCTGTAGCTGCTGTTTGGTGTCCATCTTTAATTTTCCAAGCTTCTAGGTCATGATCACATCAAACATGCTGCTCTTTTCTTCTCTTCCCATCCTGGAAGTTTCTGGCCCCCTGTCTTCTGGCCTTCTTCTCTTTTCTTCATGTGGCAGTCAACACTTGACCCGTCAAGGCTTCCTGCCTGTCAGTACCAGTATTTTAGGTCCTGTCTATCCTTTTGATTCTGTTTGGAGTCTGATGGGGAAGCAGAACTGCCCTGCGTCTCAGGACCCAGTCCTGGTGTGGCACTCTGAGCTATGCCTGGCTGTCCCAGACCTTCCCCCACTGAGCCTGGAGAAAGGCCTCTTTCCCCCGTCTGAAACCTTTCTCCTTGGATGGGAGGCCTCTATTATGGGAAATTTCACACTGATTCCTTTGCAGGAGGCAAGAAAGTCTTAGCCCTTCCTTTGAGAAGGAGGTGAGGTTGAAACCAGGAAGGTTGGGGCCAGGTCCGAGCCTTCCCTCTCTACCTCCAGCTGTTGGGTCATC